CGCCCCTCCCCGAAGCCGGGCGCCGGGCGGACAAAGCGCGGCGGCAGCGTGGGCACCCAGGCCGACCCCGCCGACCCCCGCCAAACAAGCGGGGCCGGGAGCCCCGGAAACCGGCGCCTTAATGCAATAAACAGGAAATCGCGGGGATGATCTGGGTTCCGGGGGAAGTGGAATTATTTTTTACCAGCGAAGAGATCAACTTCCACATCCGGTGGTAACAGGGCCCTACACAGCCCCGCACTGACCTGGAAAAGCTTCGGGAGCGGCGGCGGGGGAGCAGCGGGAGGAGGTGCGAGGACCGAGGCGCCTCGTAGCCGGCCGGGCTGCCGCGGCGCCGCCACACACAGAGCGCTTCGCCGCACAGGGCGCTATTTTCCGAAAATGCCGCGTCTGGTCGGCGCCCAAAATCCCCACCGAAAAGTCCCCGTCGGCGCGGAGGGACACGGCGGGGCGAGGCTCCCAGCATCCCTCCGGGCGGGCCTTCGCAGCCCGCGCCGACTTCCTGCCCGCTGCCCCTGGGAGCGCGTCGGCTGCCGCCCGCCCCCCGACCCCACTCCGCAGGAGGAAGGGGCGAAGGGGTCTGTAGTGACATTAAACGGGGAGAAAGGAAACAAGCCATTTCGAGCCCTCAGCCGCACAAAGGCGGCGGCGGAATGATCTGCTCAGCCACCGCAAGTCCCGGCTCGTCTGCGCCTGCGCGGTAGTGGGGTGGGCGCTCGGCGGCCATGTGCGCGGCTGGGTGGCCGTGACGCGCCGCCGCTTCCTGAGCGGGAGGAGAGTGGAAGCCGGCCCGGACCCGACAGTCGGCACGCAGGGACCGCGGAGTGCTTGGGGTGCAACTGGCCGACTGGATCGTTTAGCAGATTCCCGGGAGGTGGAAGGGCAGCCAGGAGCTTGGACTTTACCTTGGAGTGGGCTGGGATGGATCTGGGTAGACTGAGGCCCGGGAGTCGGCGGTGGAAGTGGCCGGGGAGGGACCGAGGGTGTACCCTCTTCACCCTGCAGAAACTGGTCGGGTGCGTGGCGAGTACGCACAGGTTTCTGCCGCTTTTTTTTTTTAACGTTCTAATGGTGACTCATATTTCCCTGCGTGCAATGTCAAGATTTTTGTTGTAATTTCATTTTTAAAGTACAAATTTATTTAAAGATGGTGATTTATGAAGGAAAAGCCATAGAAATTTATAACTTACGTATGATTTTTCAAAGCTACATGTTGGTGTGTTTAATGGGAAAGCCTACAACCAAGGGACTTTGACATTCTGTATCTAGGAATGGAAATATTTGCACCACCACCAAGGGTTCAAGAGGGTCTGGAGAGATGCAGCAAGCATCAACATGACTCCAGAGGCTCTCTTCTGGCCTCTGCAGGCATTGCATGTCATAGGTGCACTTACATACATGCAGATAAAACGTTCATTAAAAAGAGCTCAAGAGAGGCCGGGTGTGGTGGCGCACACCTTTAATCCCAGCACTTGGGAGGCAGAGGCAGGCCTGGTCTCCATGGTGAATTCCAGATGGCCTGGAACTCAGAGATCCTTCTGCTTCTGCTGGGATTAAAGGTGTGTGCCACCATTCCTGGTTACCCTGCAGGCCTGTAGTCCCAGCACTTGGGAAGCAGAGGTAGGTGGATCTCTGTGAGTTCATGGCCAGCCTGGTCTACATAGTGAGTTCCAGGACAGCTGGAATAATACCATAAAGGGGCTGGGGAGATGGCTCAGAGGTTAAGAGCACAGGCTGCTCTTGCAGAGGACCCGGGTTCAATTCCCTGCACCCATAAGGCATCTATTAGCCAGCTATAACTACAGTTCCAGGAGATCCGATGCTCTCTTCAGACCTCCTTGGGCATTCATTGTACAACATAGGTGTACTTACATACGTGCAGGCAATACACTCATAAAATTAAAATATTAAAAAGATAATACCATAAAGGTTTGTAGTCTGTGTAATTTATTAAAGCACTGTACCTAAAATAGTAGCAATGTAAGCAGTATGGAGACCATAGTTGGTATTTTCTTTTGATTTAATATATTTTATTCAGTGTTTTTAAAATTGTCACACTTTCCCTTAACATTTTGAGTCAATATTCAGCTAATGATTGCTACAGAGTTCTTGCGTTGTACTGTAGAATGTAAACAAGTAAGCATACACTATCAGTAGGAGAGTTGCTGAATACTATGGAGTCTGAAGAAACCTTACTGACCTTCAAAGGAGGAACTGAATGGCTCTTTAGAGACAGTCACCTTTAATAAGGGAATTGATGAAGGCCTTCTAATCAAATGAAACAATAATGCCAAAGTTTAAGCAAGCACTGGGGAAAGTGTTCCTGTAGAGGTCTAGTGACAGCATCCAAAGCCATGTGCAGGAATTAGCTTCTGAGAGTCAGGAGGAAGCTACTGAATTGTTGTAAGAAGCAGCAGGTGAATGAATGAATGAATGGATATGTTTGAGTGGTAGCTATTGTGCCAAAAAAAATCCAAGGCTTGGAGAAACAGTAATTTGCAAAACAGTAGTGACTTTGGTTGAGGCGGTCACAAGTAGGAGTGAAGAAAACCACCAAAGTGGATTGAGAATTTACAGATTTGCTTGACTGGATGAGGTAATGAGTGACACCAAAGGTGACTCAAGTGTGTCAGAGGAACACCTGGGAGGATAGTAATGTGTTCACTGAGAGTAGAAAGGAAGGAAGAGGAATGTGTACTGGGAAAGGGCGAGGCTTCTGTTTTGAGCATGTGAGCATGTCTAACCAACTGTTCGACATTTGGAGGAGCACTCATTCTTAGCAGTGTTCTCCACACTGGAAAGATACCATAGCAGCCACAGGAACGTGGATTCTGCTCCTCTTCCCAGACAAGAAAGACTACAGTTTTAAAAAGAAGGGGAAAGGTACTGTCCCATACTTTGACAAAACTAAAGGGTACGTAGATAAAGTACTTCTCTGAGTGGGAAAACAGGCAAAATTTCAGTACTTGTCAGAGGTGGCCTCACCTGAAGTGTTCTCTGAGCTAAGAACAGACTGGGAAGAAGTTAGGGCAGCCTCTGGAAATCAAAGGGAAGACCAGGACAAAGGCCCTGAGATGAGTTTTCCAGGGAACAGCAAGGAGGCCAGTATGGCTGAAGTCTAGTGAGCAAAGGAAGAGATGGTAGGAATAAAGTCTGCAGCTTTGGTAAGATCAAGGGTCGCTCGTTGAAAGCACTAAGCAGTGGAGTAGTTTGGACATAGTAACCGAAGACATGGAGAAAGTTGATGGATCCACAGTACTTAACCTACCTTTGTTAAATGTGAAGTGGGGAAGGGAATCAATAATGTATATAAAACATACACCTGTTTAAGCCAGCACTATCAGGTAAAAATATAAGCTACACGTAATTTTATGTTAGCACATTAAAAATGTGAGGTAAATGTCTTCTCTAACTCAATATATGCCAATATTCATGTGATGTATAGTAAATGTTTAATGTGCACCCTCACTACTGTTTGAAATGTGGATATATATTTTATATTTAAAGTATATCTGGGTACTTGATTTCTTAAAATTTATATTTGAAAAGTAGATTTACATTTCCAGCTGGTTTCCAAGCACTGAAAATTTTTGTGGTAATTATGCTTTTTTTAATTTTAAGCTAAAGTTAAGATTTTTAAAAAATCAGTTTCTCATTTAACCAGACTTCAGTTTGAGATAGTTGCTGTTATATTGGGCAAAGCAATCTAGTAGAACAGGAAAGTAGAAACTCAGACTTGAAAAGCTACTTAGAAGGACTGGGACTACAGCTCAGCAGTGGAGTACCCACCATTGGCAAGGCCCTGGGCCCAATCCCTATCTATCACTGCCAAAAAGAATGAGACTAAGCTAGAAAGCTTGACTATCAAGCTAAAAAAAACTGGGATTTTACTCTAGAGGCCCCTGAACTGGTGAACTGTGGGTTTGAGCCAGGGAATGACAGCAGTATATTTAGGCTAGAAAGAGGCCACTAGATGGCCATCTGGTGACTCCTGACCAAGAGCAATGCTTCCATTGCTTTGACTTCATGAGAGTCCGTTTCGGTTATTCTAGAACAATGACATGAAAAGTGATCCATTAGTTAGTGCCAGCATGCAGACTCTTTGTTACTTGGCTTATGACATCTACAGAAAGAGTAAGAATTTAGAAGCTTAAAGCAGACTAACAGGCCAGGTGTGGCAACGCACACCTTTAGTGCCAGCACTCAGGAAGCAGAGGCAGGTGGATCTCTGAATTCAAGGCCAGCCTGGTCTACATACCAAGTTCTAGGACAGCTGGAGCAACAGGGAGACCCTGTCTCAAAAACAAACAAAAAAACCAGACTAACATTAATTTTAATGTCTGTAAATATAAAATTTCGGAGCTGTATTGTGGCATGAGGTTTTTCTATTTCCCTTTTCTAGTAATTTTTGTTTTATTATGAGTATACTCTATTCTTTTTTTTTTTTTTTTTTTTTTTTTTTTTTCCTGTAGCCCCAGCTGTCCTGGAACTCACTTTGTTGGAACTCGCTATGTAGCTGAGACCTTCAACTCCTGATCTTGTGTCTCCACGTCTCAAGTAGATAACAGGCAAGCACCACTACACACAGTGCTGGGGAATCAAATCAAGGACCTCATGCAAGGAAAGCAGGCACTCTTACCAACTGACATGCATCCCCATCCTTCACGTCTTTTTTAATTTTTTTTATCTATTTTTAAAATACGTTTGTGTGTGGTTAAGCACACATGAGTGCAGGTGCCTGCTCCCCTGGAGCTGCAGTTACAGGCAGTTGTGAGCTACCTGACGTGGCTGCTGAGAATAGCATTCCATACTCTTAACCAGTGAGCCATCTCTCCAGCCCTCTTCACATAATTTTTGAAACACAACTCTTGAGGCATGAAGAGTCA